AACATTGAACACCAAATGTGTTCTTTTTAGAATAGCCTTTTACTAGATTTTTAAAACCCCCACTTGTTGCCATGTCGGCGTAAACGTCGCTGCTTTTATTTTTGTTTTGTTTCAACCATTTTACTCTGTAGCACTGTAGTTTTGTTTACTCAAATGAAAAGTGCGCTTAAATAAATAAAATTGATGATGATGACTCAAGTGCAAAAATTCAAAGAAGATTTACATTGGTGAAATGAAAAGACACAACAGCTTCTAAACACTCAATCCTGGTGTGGTTGTGCATGTGTGTTTAATACGTGTTATCTCTCTGTTCAGATCCTTCTGGTGCACAAGCTGGACGACCACAACAGCCTGAGCTACGTGTGTGTGTTCGTGCCTCTGTGGCTCTCGCTGCTCACACTCATGGCCACCACCTTTGGTCAGAAGGGAGGAAACCACTGTGAGTGTTTACAGAATGAACACATCCTGTACTCAAGTAGAAGTACAGGTACTCGTGTTGAAAAATACTCTGGTAAAAGTAGAAGTACTGACTAAACTTCTTTACTCAAGTAAAAGTAAAGAGGGCTTTGAAATGTACTTCAGTAAAAAGTACCCATAACTAGCAGCTGTTTTAAAGAGTACCTGACCTCCCTTTATATTAATAGAACAATAATGTCATTGTTAGCTAATGAATGTTTCCATGCTGAACAACGGCAACATGACAACGTTTTCATTGGTCCCTCTTCTTTAGAGAAGACCAGGAAATGATGGATACACGGATCGTGTTCAAATCAATAGGCACGCAATGACTCTAAATAATAATGATCACGCCACCAAACACACATTCAAACTAAAGGAACCAGCCTGTTTGGGAAATGTGAGAAGTAGAAAGTACAGGTATTTGGGTTCAACATGTAAGAAGTAGAAAGTACAGGTATTTGGGTTCAACATGTAAGAAGTAGAAAGTACAGGTATTTGTGTTCAAAATGTAAGAAGTAGAAAGTACAGGTATTTGGGTTCAACATGTAAGAAGTAGAAAGTACAGGTATTTGTGTTCAACATGTAAGAAGTAGAAAGTACAGGTATTTGTGTTCAACATGTAAGAAGTAGAAAGTACAGGTATTTGGGTTCAACATGTAAGAAGTAGAAAGTACAGGTATTTGTGTTCAACATGTAAGAAGTAGGGATGCCAGCGATTATTCGATTATTCGATTATTCGTTACAGTCTCCATAATCGAATATTATTTTTAAAAATCGATTTTATTAATATATTTTTTTATTAATATTTATGTTTTTCTTTTTTTTCCTGGTTTGGTTTCAACCAAAATATAGACTAATGCTAATAATAGTAATAGTATTAATAATTGTAAATGACCATTGATCACACCACCAGTTTGTTTTACTGTAAACTTGGAGGAAGCCAGCAGCGCAGAGTGCAGACTGCTGCTGCAGCCTGGTACACACCGACCCCGCCCCGCCCCCTCCGTCGTGGAAGGAGGCGGTTTCCTTGAGTTTATGGCAAGCGTGGAACCAGATTACAGGGTCCCGGGCCGTACTCTTATCAACTGTCTCAAAGGTGTCGATAACCACCGACGGGTGGACGGCACTTACAACTAAATCCTATTTTACCATAACCTGCCATTATATCGATAGTGAATGGGAGATGAAGAGTGCGGTTAATTTAGCTGAGGGGCTCCGCAGTGCTCTGTGCCCTCGGAAAGGGTTTTTTCGGCGGCAGGACTAATCCTTAACCGGCTGCGCTCTCGCCTACACCCATACATACATACACATAAAGTAGGCTATTTATTTAATTTATTTCAATGATGCTATTATTAATACTGTTCTACCTGAAGAGCCCTTTTGTACCATGTACACGTTCCAGTAAAAGAAAACAACGGAATACCATTTGTCAGTGTTTTTTTTTTCCTCCTCCCGGGAGGGGGGAGGGGGAGGGGGGGTGGCGATTAATCGATTAATATTCGCCAGGGCTGTCCGATCTTCGATTTTGGTCATGGTCAGTTTCTGGCATCCCTAGTAAGAAGTAGAAAGTACAGGTATTTGTGTTCAACATGTAAGAAGTAGAAAGTACAGGTATTTGGGTTCAACATGTAAGAAGTAGAAAGTACAGGTATTTGTGTTCAAAATGTAAGAAGTAGAAAGTACAGGTATTTGAGTTCAACATGTAAGAAGTAGAAAGTACAGGTATTTGTGTTCAAAATGTAAGAAGTAGAAAGTACAGGTATTTGGGTTCAAAATGTAAGAAGTAGAAAGTACAGGTATTTGGGTTCAAAATGTAAGAAGTAGAAAGTACAGGTATTTGGGTTCAACATGTAAGAAGTAGAAAGTACAGGTATTTGTGTTCAACATGTAAGAAGTAGAAAGTACAGGTATTTGTGTTCAACATGTAAGAAGTAGAAAGTACAGGTATTTGTGTTCAACATGTAAGAAGTAGAAAGTACAGGTATTTGTGTTCAACATGTAAGAAGTAGAAAGTACAGGTATTTGTGTTCAACATGTAAGAAGTAGAAAGTACAGGTATTTGTGTTCAACATGTAAGAAGTAGAAAGTACAGGTATTTGTGTTCAACATGTAAGAAGTAGAAAGTACAGGTATTTGGGTTCAAAATGTAAGAAGTAGAAAGTACAGGTATTTGGGTTCAAAATGTAAGAAGTAGAAAGTACAGGTATTTGGGTTCAAAATGTAAGAAGTAGAAAGTACAGGTATTTGTGTTCAAAATGTAAGAAGTAGAAAGTACAGGTATTTGTGTTCAAAATGTAAGAAGTAAAAGTAAAAAGTCGTCAGGAAAATAAGTATTGGAGTAAAGTACTAATACGTTTCGAATGTACTCAAGTACAGTAACAAAGTATTTGTTCTCCTCTGAATATATATAATTATTTACCCTCTGTTAACTCTTCCTGTCGTGATGTTTCCCCACAGGGTGGTTCGGCATCCGTAAGGACTTCTGCCACTTCCTGTTGGAGCTCCTCCCCTTCCTGCGTGAGTACGGCAACGTGTCCTACGATCTGCAGCGCAGCGAGGACCCTGAGGCGGCCGAGGACCTGCCCGTCCCCGAGCCGCCGCCCAAAATCGCCCCCATGTTCCACAAAAAGACGGGCGTGGTGATCACTCAGAGCCCCGGGAAGTACTTCGTCCCGCCGCCTAAACTCTGCATCGACATGCCCGACTAAACTCATTTAAACGGAGACTTCTGGGACTCATGGAGCTAGGACATTTACCTGAAGATGCTCCTTTACCTAAACTCTTTTCCAGAGCAACACATCGGAGCCTAAATGGGGAAAATGTGGGATCCAGAATCTTCTTATATTTTGACTTTAAGACCACCCTGCTTAAATCTGTGGAGGATATGGACCCTAAAGGAAGTCTTCAGATTCTCTGGGATTTAAACTTTTACTCATGAGACACGACGGATCGACGTGGATTAGCTTGTTTGACTTTTTTAGTTAGCGAATCGGAAGCAAAGACGGCGCTTGTCTTGCTTCATGATGGGGACCATTGGAGAGCTTGAATTGGGGGTCTCTTTTCACCAGAAAAAAGAGGGAAGTGGAGGTAAAAAAATATGTTTTTCAGGTCTGTTTTAGTTCAATACTTCCACACACACGTATACAAATGAAGAATTATTCATCTTTAAATCATTCTGTGTGAGTATTGTCTTGAAACACACCTGAAAAAACCTCCTTTTTAGAAGAGAATGATAGAAATGGCACTTTGTTAATCAACATGAGTCCTGTCTGAACCGACATTTCTTTTGTATTCCTGTTTATTTTGTTGTTGTAAATAACCAACGATGTCACGTTAGGGACCAGAGTGGAGATGGCAGGGTTGAAGACTAGAAAAAAAATTGCGAACAATCACCCCCCTTTTATTCTTATTCAACTTCTAAGAGTCAACAGAATAAATAAATACCTTTTAAAATAAGCCTTTTTTTTTTAGGTTTTCTTATATGGATGATAGGGCTGTTCGATTATGGCAAAAATCATAATCTCGATTATTTGAGTCAATAATTAATATCACGATTATTAAAAACGATTATCCATTTACTTCGAAAACATCCATTTATTGCAACAAAAAAAATTGAACAGTATGTTTTTAACAGTTGATTACCCTGAACTTTAAGTATAATTCAACTGAAAAACTAATAAAATAATCGTTTTATTTCGATTTTCATATTAAAATACGATTAATTGAGCAGCCCTAGTGGATGATTTACCGTGCTTTAGCAGCTTTCACAGTATTATTATTATTATTATTATTATTATAGCAGACTGTAGAGGATTAAAAAGCTTTGCATTGCCCCTTTAGGTGGACCATTTCAAATCCTACACATATCAGCTTTCCCTGGCTCACAGAAGGAAAAATAAATACTTATTTACATCCAAATCTTCTTACTAGTACACCTGTATGTGTTTGCACATTGCCAGCGTTTCCTCAATTTACTCAGAAAACACGTCTCTTTTTTGGATTTCGTTCCACAACCTGACTGCTGTGTGTACATTTTTTATTTTACATGACGTCCTTTATTTTCTTCCATTAAACTGGCCTGATTTCCTCATCACACTTTCCTTTAACGTTACAGAATCCTGCGTTTTTTCTTCTTGTATTAGCTGCGGGACTCCCAGAAGTCTCAGCTGTTTTGTCTATATATTTATTTTAGAATAAACTATGAAAGAATGACATCATGTAACATCAGTTTATGTGTTTATTCAGTTTCATTCCACCACTTAAAGGTCACCTATCATGCTATTTGTAGGGCTAGGTCTCAGATATATAAAAATATAGAAACATGTCTATGAAGTGTTTTGCTCAAAATACCAAACAGATCACCCATTCTAGCCATGCCTCATATCCCTCTATTTCACTTCCTGTTTCAAAAGTGCTGATTTGGGGTATAAAGCTTTAAATAAATAAAAGATTGATACAAAAAAAAAGGAGGGGTCTGAGCTCATGCGGGACCCGGCAGCTACTGTCTAAACTAAATACTGGGCGGATGAAACGCCATATCATGGATTATCAAGGATTATTTCTGAAACAGTATGGAGCTCAAAGGCTTTCTCTCTTGCCGGTTATACCACAAGGTGAGTTCCTTTTTATTCCTGCTTCTTCACACACATGCTCTCCAGTACAGGTTAGCTCTGAGTGTTAGCGATGCTAATGTAAACACCGACCATATTACGTCCAAAACAGTCGGGCATTGTTTCTGATAGCAACGTTTCTGATAGGGCCGTGGGTCCACATTTCAGATATTGCGTCATATCGGACGCAATATCTGAATCAGCTCCGTTGTAGCCCCGTTTTTAGAGATTTGGGTACGGAGGAAAAGAGAGAGGGTTTTATTTTCTGACGCTGCGTGAGTTCCCCGACACACCGGGGACACATCTTTATGTATAAAAGACATCAAAAAGTGCATTTTGCATGATAGGTCCCCTTTAAATAATGCAATTAGGTTCATTTACTGTAGAAGAAGAAGACATACTTTATTAATCCCTCACAGGGAAATTACTTTCTCACGCATTCAAAAATACCTGCTGTACTTGAATGGATTATTTCCATTTTATGTATCTTTGGATTGTAAATACATCCAATTGACCAATCAGAATAGTTGAATCAGTATTCAACTAAACCATGTAATAAGCCAAAAATAACGTCACCATAAGATCCCAATTGGGATATTGTCTATAGCAGCGGTTCCCAACCTGTGAACCTGAAGGCATTGCAAGTGGGCCGCCAAATAATTTCTTTTTTTTTGTACAGGCTAAAGACACAAACCTGGACATAACAATAACATAATAGGAGATGACATTCCCATCTCAGACAAAAACAGAAGAAATAAAGATAGGTAGGATCACTTCAACATTTCACAAACAAAAATAGGTTGACAACCAAAAACCACCAAAAACACAACATGGCATATTTATTGTTCCTTTGATCCCACTCTTCGGTAGAGCTCATTATTTCCCATGTCATGGCGTGTTGAGCCACCCTTTCATTTTTTGTGGCAATAATGTTTTTTCAAAAGAAATTGTATTTGTTCTACTCTTCAAACACCTTAAATTAAGATTACTACTAAAATTGACTTTTAAAAATATGTATTTTAGCCAGAAGAATAGTTGTATTTATTAACTGTGTGTGGTCTTCATCTAAAAGCCCAAATAAAATATTAAAGGGTGTAAATGTAAATTCAATATTTGCCACCAAATAATTTACAAAACATTATGATTTGTGAGGAAACATTTTGATTATTAAGATTTTTTTATTATTTAACCTCTTTTCCTTTCTCTTTCTTGATCCTCCTTAGCAACAGTCATTACAGTCCTTGACAACGGTCTGTACTACTGGATTAACAACGTGTCACATTGACCAATCAGAACTTTATTTAGCCTCCGTATTGTTTATGGTTGAATGTGTGCAGCACATTTTTTTTTAATTCTTAAGTGGGCCCTGAGTTGAAAAAGGTTGGGAACCGCTGGTCTATAGAGTATGCCAAAGCACATACATAATATATGACTTAATCATTTAAAAAACTGCTTTAAAAAAAGATTGTTCAAAACAAATTTCTTTACAAGAGAAACAAATAAATACATTAATAAATAAAAATCTTAGAACCTACATAAATAAATTCTAAAAATGTTTAAAAAAAGCCCTACATTTATATTCATATTTATTATTATTTATATTTGTTGTAATTATTATAATTAATTTGATTATTTATTAATATGCCAGGCTTCTGCTTCCCACTCCAGTCCAGCAGGTGGCGGTAAAGCACCAAATCATTGCCAAACGGCTCTCTACCTGATACAAGAAGACGAAGAAGAAACATTTCTTCTTCTGCTCTTTGTAATCCGGTATCATCTACCTGCTGTCGGGAGGAAGAGGAAGCAAGACAAGTTGAAATGGAGGTAAATAAACATTCTGAAGTTTATCAAACATCAGAACAGAGAGGCACCGAGCAGGAAGTCTGGAAATGTGATTTGTTTTTGCAGAATGATCTGTTTGTGCAGCCTGTCAGTTAGCATGTCTGCACACCTGTGTAAAGAATCAAAGTCCATCCCATAATAACCGAGCTGAAGGAAACGCTACAAAGCAAACAGTTTATAGTCTGTTGCTGCAGATACAAGTTTACTGTGCAGCTTGTGTTGATTTAAGTGTGTGTGTGTGAGACTTTGACTTTTGACTTTATAATTGTATTTTAAACAAAGTCCAGACACCCTGTAAACCAGTGGCTTAAATAACGTTTAACACGTATAGTTAAATAATAAAAAGAAGGATCAATGACCTTACAGCCAAATGATGAAACTCTTAGAGTGAAAGTACACCATTTACCTCTGAATTTTAGTAGAGTAGTTCTAAGTACAACGTAGTATAAACTGGAAATACTAAAGTAAAGTACAAGTACCTCAAAATTGTACTTCCATCATCTGGATCACAGGAAAACACTCTGTATTGAGTATGACGCGCAGCTGTCAGTTAGCTTGTGCCTGTTTCTGATTGGTCAGCTGTTGCTAACCCCGCCCCTTTCCTGTATCCGAGCTTTTGAATGCAGGACTTTTACTGTAACAGAGTATTCCTACACTCTGGTACTTCTACTTTTACTCAAGTACACGATCTGAGTACTTCTACTTTTACTCAAGTACAAGACCTGAGTACTTCTACTTGTACTCAAGTACAAGATCTGAGTACTTTTACAAGTACAAGACCTGAGTACTTCTACTTTTACTCAAGTACAAGACCTGAGTACTTCTACTTTTACTCAAGTACAAGACCTGAGTACTTCTACTTTTACTTTAGTACAATATCTGAGTACTTCTGCTTTTACTCTAGTACAAGATCTGTGTACTTCTCCCACCTCTGCTTATATATATTTATATCTGTAATGCCATATATGTAGACTTTTGAATAATATTAAAAAAGCACTATTTTCATTTACTTATTTCATTAAAATATGCTCTATGAAGAGACTGTAGCAGAAACCAATCAGGAGAGAGAAACACAAAACACCACTTAAGATTATTTAGAGTTTTATTGTTGTTGTTATTGTCCTCTGGAGGTAATTCAATGTATGACTAGACAGTCATTAAGGATTCCCTCTAACACCTGTAATACATGACCAACATGAGCATTTACTGAATTCAACATATTTACACACAGAAATGTCATGATTTCTCTCATAGAAAAAGGGATTGATTCCCAATATGTGACATTATAAATGTACATTAAAGGTCACCAATCATGCTATTTTTAAGCATTAGCATAGGTCTCAGATATATAAAAAAATATAAAAAACATGTAACAATATCCATCAGTGAACAGATTATTGACTTACAGCAAAATGATCAAACTCACAGTGAGGACTGAAATAAATAAGTATAAAAATGACACTATACAGATGTTACACTGAGCTTCTTTCTCTCTTTATGCTCAGATTCAGACAGTCATGATTCCTCTGATGAACTCTCCATCTGCATGGCTGCATTGTGGGTTCTTCTCTTATATCTTATTAAAACAATGCAGGCAATGCTGAGGACAAAGACAATCAGAGTTGTTATCACAACGATAAACCAGAGTCTTCTCCAACTCTCTGTTGGTCTCTGAGGTTCGAGCTCTTTAGCAGCTGTGGAAAAGGACAGAATATAACATCAGGAACCATTTTAGTGTTAATATATAACAGGTCTAATCCACGTTAAATAATCTGAGGTTTCTATAAGTGCTGCCTTACGGAGCCTCTATGGATGTGACATTTAAATCTATTTTGACTTCCTGACTTCTACTGAGTTTACTCACCAGTCACATTCAAACAGCATCTCCCATTGTTCCGTCCATAATCAGTGAACACTTTGCAGACATAAAGTCCTGAGTCATTGGTCCTGAGTCTGGAGACATGAAGTGTGATGCGTCCTTCTGTGACGACGTCTTTGTCCCACTGGACTCGTCCTGCAAACTGTGGATCCTGAGTCTCTGGGAATTCAATGCCTTTGTATAGATGAAGCAGGTTGTAGGGCCTGAACGATACTAAATCACAGACGATAGTAATGGAGCTGAGGGAAGTGTCTCTTCTGGTGCTGAAGGTCCACTCCAGGGTGATGTTCTGGTTCTCCTCTGCCTGATAGGAAGCCTGAGTCACATTCACTACAAATATTCCTGTGGAGGAGAGACAGAGGGACTTTTTAAACTGCAGCTATGTTCTTGTGGAGGAGACACAGAGGGACTCTTTAAACTGCAGCTAGGTTCCTGTGGAGGAGACACAGAGGGACTCTTTAAACTGCAGCTATGTTCCTGTGGAGGAGACACAGAGGGACTCTTTAAACTGCAGCTATGTTTCTGTTGAGGAGACACAGAGGGACTCTTTAAACTGCAGCTATGTTTCTGTTGAGGAGACACAGAGGGACTCTTTAAACTGCAGCTATGTTTCTGTTGAGGAGACACAGAGGGACTCTTTAAACTGCAGCTATGTTTCTGTTGAGGAGACACAGAGGGACTCTTTAAACTGCAGCTATGTTTCTGTTGAGGAGACACAGAGGGACTCTTTAAACTGCAGCTATGTTTCTGTTGAGGAGACACAGAGGGACTCTTTAAACTGCAGCTATGTTTACAGAGGAACTAAGCGCCCTCGGAATATTCTGCCCGCCCTCGCCCTCGAGTGCTACCCCCCAGCTGCAAAGGAGACGCCGCAGGCGGTGTGAGAGGAAGCAGAAGAGGGGTAAAACATAAACCACGTGTCTCCCATCAGTTTACGTCTGTGAGGAAGAGAGAGAGAGAGAGACAGAGAAAATGGCTAAAACTTTACAGTTGCCGACTTCGCTAGAGATTTTTTTCGCTAGCAGCAGTGAAGATAGAGCCTCAGAACCTGAAGTCTTCAACTCTTCTGAAGACGAAGAATACAAGGACAACAAGGATCCATTTGGACATGGGTAAGTGTAAATGTTACAGTAATAGTGTGCTTGCAATTTGTGGGGAATACCGCGAAAATGAACAATAGGTTTATTGAACTTTTTTTTTTATCGATAGTCATGAACTTTTTCTTGGGACAAAATAGACTCTCCATTAGCAAACGTTTACTCTGTGTTAACGTGTTTTATGTGTAAACGTTATTTTGGTGTGTAAAAGTGAGATTACATGTGTAGATGATTCAAATAATCAATTTAGACATTTACAGTGGCTATAGACATGTTTTTGCCATCGATTATTTTATCATACTGTTCTGTACAGATGAGACTGTCATAGATGTATTTATATGTGTGCTTGTGATTATTTTACCGTCCTGTACAGATAAGACTTTGTTATCAGATGTGTGTATATGTGTCTGTGATTTTATACTGAATGTAAAGTAACTGGAAATACCTGTGTGTGAGAGAGAGAGAGAGAGAGACTCCTGTCCCACCTCCCAAACTTTCTTTTTATGTGTGCATTGTTATTTGTGCTTGAGCAACATTTTACTTGAACTTTATTTCAATTAAATTAGTAGTAATTATTGTCCTACATTTTAATTTGTTTTACAGAGATGTTCCACAGCTGCCTGGGCCTAGCGGCCCACAGACGGCGTTTATCCAGCAGCAAGAACATCCATCTGTGCCTGCCCCCAGGTCAAGATCTACCGTGGCTCAAGGGCCTTCACCAGAGCCATCACCACCAAGGACCAGAGGACCAGCATCACTACAGCTGCCTCCACCTCCATCTGTGCCTGCCACCAGGTCAAGATACACCTCAGCACAAAGGCTCCACCACAGCCATCACCATCAACCCAGCCAGCAAGGAGGTCTCGTGGAGGTCTCGGGGAGCACACGTACCCCCCACCTACACAGCAGCCCATGCACCATCACCCCCACCTACACAGCAGCCAGACCCACTGTATTGGAAGAGGGACAAAGACCTTGACACTGTCTTTACATTTATAATGAATAGTTGGTTGAAAGTTCTGATGTTCAATATTGTAAATAGTGAAATTTTCCATTTCTTATAGTTATATAAATAGTTGGTTGAAAAAAACATATTTATAATAAATTGTTGGTTGAAAAAAAAAGTTCTAATGCTCATTTTGTATTTGTACACATCACATGAACCTTGGTATGTCATATGAAGTCTTTATTCAGTCCTAATGTATCTCAGTCCCTGCTGTGGTGAAAGTAGAGGGATAAACAACTATTTTACTCCAACTTCTTTTTTCATTTTAGACATGAATTACACATGTATATACAGTGTAATTCATATATTTCACTACTTTTGTGAACCTAAGACTTTGGTAAACCAAATCTAAAACACCAAAATTGGATGACATGAGTGAATTTGTGTTTTCACAAGAGTTTTGAAGATTTCCAAAAATTGGATGTTAAATGTTAAGCTTTAGAGCTACTTATCTCATCACACAGTGCTCTAAGGTGAGTGACTCGCATTTCTAGCAAGACCAGAGACTGTCCTGAACATTTTCATATGTAACACATGGGGTGCCATGTTATAACAAATACATTTAAAAGTTGATTTAAGGAGACATCTAAAAATCGAGAAAATACCCTTAGACTCCAGAGGGTTTTAAAGTCTGATTGCTGCAGTCCCTGTTAACACACTTTTTTTAGGATCACATACCGGTGTCTGCAGTGTCTATAGCCGACTGTAGATGTGTTTATGTGCACTTTGTTTACAGGAACTGCAGCAAAAGCAGTGTTTACAAAAAAGTACAAGTAAGCACAAAAGGAAAGTACAAAATACTTTCCTCACAAAGTTAGGACAGCTACTTGCTGAGTTCAGTAAAGTTGGAACGATATTGGCAGATTCGGATTTCATGGATCAATAACTCATGAACAAAACATTGTTCAGACACAAATTACGTCTCCTAAGTACCGTGGTAAGGTTGACAACGAACTACAATCACATTTTGATCAAAAAAAGCCAATACATGCTGTCCTCCAAACTGGGGACATTACATTGGTCTCTATCTGCGGCCGGAGAAGAAACGAGTGCTCAGGGACCGTCTGCAAAGTGCAACTCCGAAAAAAGAGAATACAATAATATTCAATCACTTCACTATTGTACAGTATATTTCTACCAAACTCACTACACACATCAATAGTGTCCTGTTGGTCATACTACAGCAGAGAGTTTGGAATAATATGGGTTTGAATAATTTTGGTGAATATTTATAATGTAGAATCTCCAATAAATATGGCATCATCTTCAATAACGTTACTAGTGTGCAGTATATTTCTACCAAACTCACTACACACATCAATAGTCTCCTGTTGCTCATACTACAGCAGAGAGTTTGGAAGAATAATGGTTTTGAATAATTGATCCATTCTAAAATGATCTGACAATGATGTGATTAAAACCGACTTTGGCCTCTATATTAGCTGGCATTTTGTATGATTATTTCCCCTACAATTTATCCAAAAGGTAATAGAATGTTACATTAGAGGTAGGGCTGTGCGATTATGGCAAAAATCATAATCACGATTATTTGGGTCAATAATTGATATCACGATTATTAAATACGATTATTCATTGACTTTGAAAAAATCAATTTATTGAACTTTAAAACAAATAAAAATAATTATTTGAACAGTATATTCTTAACTGTTGATTACCCTGAACGTATAATTCAACTGAAAAACCAATACAAAAATAAATGATACATTTAAATAAATAATATCAAAATAATAAATACCAATAAATAAGATCAACAAATATTTTGGAGCGCACTTCCACAAGCTACTAAACATATATAAATATGATAAATACAAATAAATTAGACCAAAATTAATTAGATCAAATATGTTGCACTGTCACAACCTAGCAAAACAAAATAATAGTTTTTTCCGATTATGTTGTTTTCGTAATTGTGGCAGGCCAAAATCGTAATTGCGATTAAAATACGATTAATTGCACAGCCCTAATTAGAGGCATCCTCAACCTGAAGGATACGTCTATACCTCCTGGATCACTACACCATGGGTGTAATCCTACACGGGCACACGAGAGCAGATGGCCAGGCAAGAGCTAAAAAAGGTGAGTAAAACTGATTATTCAAAGTCTTTTCATCCCTTTTAGTATTGTAGGCTTGAGAAAGGAGACTGAACTGTGTCTACAGGCAACTTCCAGCATTATTATAATCATGTATGTAGTTTTTGGAGACATTTGTGTTGTTTTTAACCAATACATTTAGAATATAAGCTTCCCTTTTTTTCTTGTTCCTGTTGAGAAAAATAAATAATGAATACTGTGTAAATTAAATGATTGTTTTGCACCTGCATATTATAGAAAATAACACTTATGTTTACATATTCCCTAATTTTTTCAGGTCACATTTGATCTATATGATGGAGCCATTGGATTTGTCAATATAAGAAATGTGCACTGGAAGTTTGTGGTGAGTATACAGCTACTCGTGTAGTAATACTGTAGCTGCTTTTACAGCATGTATGTTTTGCTCAGGGTTTGCACATTTCAAGTTAATCAACTATTACTTTGACAGGGTTCCTGCAGGTTTCGCCTACTCAAATTTAAGACCACTTTGAATAGAATTTAAGACCTATTTCACGGCAAGAGAGTATGAAGGAAAATTGCTATGAAAGAAGAAATACGTCCCATAATTACTTACAAAGTAAATGTAAAGGCATAACAGTACAGAACTGTGTTAGCGTGTTAGACAAAAAGTGTGTGTGTGTGTGTGTGTGTGTGTGTGTGTGTGTGTGTGTGTGTGTGTGTGTGTGTGTGTGTGTGTGTGTGTGTGTGTGTGTGTGTGTGTGTGTGTGTGTGTGTGTGTGTGTGTGTGTGTGTGTGTGTGTGTGTGTGTGTGTGTGTGTGTGTGTGTGTGTGCAATTAATCGTATTTTAATCGCAATTACGATTTTGGCCTGCCACAATTACGAAATTATTTTGCTTTGCTAGGTTGTAACAGTGCACTACAACATATTTGATCTAATTAATTTTAGTCTAATTTTTATTTATCATATTTATATATGTTTAGTAGCTTGGGGAAGTGTGCTCCAAAATATTTGTTGATCTTGTTTATTGGTATTTATTATTTTGATATTATTTATTTAAATGTATAATTTATTTTTGTATTGGTTTTGCAGTTGAATTATACGTTCAGGGTAATCAACAGTTAAAAAGATACTGTTCAAATTATTATTTGTTTTAAAGTTCAATAAATGGATGTTTTCAAAGTCAATGAATAATCGTATTTAATAATCTTGATATCAATTATTGACCAAAATAATCGTGATTATGATTTTTGCCATAATCGAGGTGTGTGTGTGTGTGTGTGTGTGTGTGTGTGTGTGTGTGTGTGTGTGTGTGTGTGTGTGTGTGTGTGTGTGTGTGTGTGTGTGTGTGTGTGTGTGTGTGTGTGTGTGTGTGTGTGTGTGTGTGTGTGTGTGTGTGTGTTGTGTGTGTGTGTGTGTGTGAAGATGTATATGTAAAATGCATCCAACTACATATACATTGCTATTAAAAAATATTGTAATACATTACTCATATACTGTGACAGAGTTAAGACTAAAATGTGTATCTCATGCAGCCCCATTTTGTAAATGCATCTTTGCCTCAGGATTGATTTAAAAATGCTTCTTTTAGTTTTAATGTCTTCATGTTCTTCATCTATATCATAGGGAAACAATATAAAATGTAGTCCAAAATAAGTACTCATTCAACCATTTCTTATTGGTGGTCGCTACTGCTCCACTAAAGATTTGAGTCTTCTGACCCCAAATTGTGCAACTTTCTTTCATCTGATCTGACATCTTTAATTATTTCAATACCCATTTAAAATGGGTAGTTATTATTTTAGTATTACTTTTAATAGCTTTTTTAACAGTTGAAGTGATTTTAATAATGTGAATCTATTAGTTAACTGTGGTTTTCATTTTTGAAGAAAAGCTGATACATTATTGTTGCTGCTGACATATTGAAAAAGGTTTGGTTTAATTATACGGTATGCTACTTTTTAAAACAGTACCTCCATGCCCTTTCAAACCACATTTATGTGGTTGATCCTCTGCAAGGGTCAAATGAAGTTGAGGACTCCAGAAAGGCTGGTTACACATTTGGGTAATATAAAATATATTACAGGAGGAAATACATTGGTTAAACGCACATTTGATAAAGGCAAAGAGTAAGCGCAAATTAATTTTTTTTTCCTATTGTTCTATAGAGAGTATTTCAAGATGCGCCGGAACAGACTGGGAAAAGAGGACTGGGTTAACATTAAATGGCAGCCAGGAAAGATAACCCACACCTTCCTTAATTTATATATAACATACTGTATATACAATGTGTAACATATATATGTATATATCAATGTGTGTGATGTCTAGTTTATTGATGATTAAAAGACTGTTCTACTTTTGATGAATCTTGCTTTGATGTAGGTGATACCATGTATATATTCAGTCTGTAAGTTAATTAATGACAGAACAATAAAACAGTGTTATGGTTTATGAATAAATAGGAGATCTTCTTTTGAGTTAAATTTCAATCGCTTCTGGTTAAAATTAAGGGGTCTCCTGTTTGACAGTAACTTATACTTACCAATACACTTTATTTTAAAATAACATAACCATCATTAAAATACGTTTTCAAATACACTTTTGTAGTGTAGCAAGTTAGAGACCATTAATGTCTGAGGTGAGTTTGGTAGCACTCCACTGTATAATAGTGAAGATATTGAAGATGATGCCATATTTATTGAAGATTTTCCATTATAAATATTCACCAAAATTATTCAAAAGCACATTCTTCCAAACTCTCTGCTGTAGTATGACCACCAGGAGACTATTGATCTGTGTAGTGAGTTTGGTAGAAATATACTGTATAATAGTAGTTATTGAAGATGATGCCATATTTATTGAAGATTTTTACAAATATTCACCAAAATTATTCAAAACCATATTCTTCCAAACTCTCTGCTGTAGTATGACCACCAGGACACTATTGATGTGTGTAGTGAGTTTGGTAGAAATATACTGCACACTAGTAACGTTATTGAAGATGATGCCATATTTATTAATGATTTTACATTATAAATATTCACCAAAATTATTCAAAAGCATATTCTTCCAAACTCTCTGCTGTAGTATGACCACCAGGAGACTATTGATGTGTGTAGTGAGTTTGGTAGAAATATACTGTACACTAGTAACGTTATTGAAGATGATGCCATATTTATTAATGATTTTACATTATAAATATTCACCAAAATTATTCAAAAGCATATTCTTCCAAACTCTCTGCTGTAGTATGACCACCAGGAGACTATTGATGTGTGTAGTGAGTTTGGTAGAAATATACTGTATAATAGTAGTTATTGAAGATGATGCCATATTTATTGAAGATTTTTACAAATATTCACCAAAGTTATTCAAAAGCATATTCTTCCAAACTCTCTGCTGTAGTATGACCACCAGGAGACTATTGATGTGTGTAGTGAGTTTGGTAGAAATATACTGTACACTATGTCTTTGTGCCCTGAGTTTGGTAGAAATATACTGCACACTAGTAACGTTATTGAAGATGATGCCATATTTATTGAAGATCTTTACAAATATTCACCAAAATTATTCAAAAGCATATTCTTCCAAACTCTCTGCTGTAGTATGACCACCAGGAGACTATTGATGTGTGTAGTGAGTTTGGTAGAAATATACTGTATAATAGTAACGTTATTGAAGATGATGCCATATTTATTGAATATTTTACATTACAAATAGTCACCAAAATTATTCAAAAGCATATTCTTCCAAACTCTCTGCTGTAGTATGACCACCAGGAGACTATTGATGTGTGTAGTGAGTTTGGTAGAAATATACTGTACACTAGTAACGTTATTGAAGATGATGCCATATTTATTAATGATTTTACATTATAAATATTCACCAAAATTATTCAAAAGCATATTCTTCCAAACTCTCTGCTGTAGTATGACCAACAGGAGACTATTGATGTGTGTAGTGAGTTTGGTAGAAATATACTGTACACTAGTAACGTTATTGAAGATGATGCCATATTTATTAATGATTTTACATTATAAATATTCACCAAAATTATTCAAAAGCATATTCTTCCAAACTCTCTGCTGTAGTATGACCAACAGGAGACTATTGATGTGTGTAGTGAGTTTGGTAGAAATATACTGTACACTATGTCTTTGTGCCCTGAGTTTGGTAGAAATATACTGCACACTAGTAATGTTATTGAAGATGATGCCATATTTATTGAAGATCTTTACAAATATTCACCAAAATTATTCAAAAGCATATTCTTCCAAACTCTCTGCTGTAGTATGACCACCAGGAGACTATTGATGTGTGTAGTGAGTTTGGTAGAAATATACTGTACACTAGTAACGTTATTGAAGATGATGCCATATTTATTAATGATTTTACATTATAAATATTCACCAAAATTATTCAAAAGCATATTCTTCCAAACTCTCTGCTGTAGTATGACCACCAGGAGACTATTGATGTGTGTAGTGAGTTTGGTAGAAATATACTGTATAATAGTAACGTTATTGAAGATGATGCCATATTTATTGAATATTTTACATTACAAATATTCACCAAAATTATTCAAAAGCATATTCTTCCAAACTCTCTACTGTAGTATGACCACCAGGAGACTATTGATGTGTGTAGTGAGTTTGGTAGAAATATACTGTATAATAGTAGTTATTGAAGATGATGCCATATTTATTGAAGATTTTTACAAATATTCACCAAAGTTATTCAAAAGCATATTCTTCCAAACTCTCTGCTGTAGTATGACCACCAGGAGACTATTGATGTGTGTAGTGAGTTTGGTAGAAATATACTGTACACTAGTAACGTTATTGAAGATGATGCCATATTTATTAATGATTTTACATTACAAATATTCACCAAAATTATTCAAAAGCACATTATTCCAAACTCTCTGCTGTAGTATGACCACCAGGAGACTATTGATGTGTGTAGTGAGTTTGGTAGAAATATACTGTACACTAGTAACGTTATTGAAGATGATGCCATATTTATTAATGATTTTACATTACAAATATTCACCAAAATTATTCAAAAGCACATTCTTCCAAACTCTCTGCTGTAGTATGACCAACAGGAGACTATTGATGTGTGTAGTGAGTTTGGTAGAAATGTACTGTACACTAGTAACGTTATTGAAGATGATGCCATATTTATTAATGATTTTACATTACAAATATTCACCAAAATTATTCAAAAGCACATTCTTCCAAACTCTCTGCTGTAGTATGACCACCAGGAGACTATTGATGTGTTTAGTGAGTTTGGTAGAAATATACTGTATAATAGTAACGTTATTGAATATTATTGTATTCTCTTTTTTCGGAGTTGCACTTTGCAGACGGTCCCTGAGCAGTGTGAGCACTCGTTTCTTCTCCGGCTGCGGAAAGAGACCAATTTAATGTGTCCAGCTCGGAGGACGGCGCATATTGGCTTTTTTTTATCAACATGTGATTGTAGTTCGTTGTCAACCTTACCACGGTACTTAGGAGACGTAATTTGTGTCTGAATAACGTTTTGTTCATGAGTTATTGATCCATGAATTCCGAATCTGCCAATATCGTTCTGAACTTTCCTGCTAACGGCTGCACGGGGAGTGTCTCGGGGAGGATTTAAAGCCTTCACCCATGACTCTGAAATATCTTCCGCTCACGAAGCACACATACAAGTCTGTATTAAAGTAGCTATACCATAAGGGTTTTTTAATTACTTCAGTTACAGCTTCTTAAATGTGAAGATTTAAAATAGTTTTTTTGTTGTTGCAATGACTACCTTAACCCCTTAAGTACATTTTCCTAATCGTACTTAAATACATTTGCTTAAGGAAAATTCTCGATGCAGTACTTCTACTTGAAATTGATTATTTATTTTGTTTTACAGTGTAGTATTAGTGCTTTTAATCAAATAAAGAATCTGAATACTTTTCCACCATCGTTTACATTACTGATGAAGATAACATAGATTACTACAATTTCATGTATCTTTAAAGATGATTATCGCTTGCTTTCATCACTACAGAAACACATTGTTGATCTTACCAGCAGCAAGGGATGACAAATGCCAAAGGACGACGAAGATGAAGCGTAACTTTACAGGCGAGGGTGAAACACTAGAACAGCCCATCACAGCCCATAATAATGTGTGTACTAATCCTGCAGACAGACACTGGCAGAGCTTTTTAAACACAGACCAGGAAAAAGACCTCCCTCATTGAAAAAAATGAGGGAGTTTCCCATCTACGCCATGGCAACGCCCCACTGTGTTGCGCCAACTCCATAGTAAGGAAAGTAGCTATTGGCTGTCCGAAATGGCGCTGGTTTCAAGGTCGTAGCTGACTTTTGTGAAATTGAATACAGTGTGACATGATGACCTACGTGGATGTTTAGCTTGTCACAGAGGCACACACACAGTGGACGAGGTGATTAAGTGACTGTGTGAGTCAAAGCAAAGCAAAGGCAGTTATTTATTATAGTTTGACAGTGACAGTGAAGAAACATTTACATTTTACATTTAAATCCCGCTCATGCGCAATTCATTTGCAGTCTCGACGCGGGAGAGTGTGGCTGTCTCCTCTGCTCTGACTGCAGCTGAGCTGCTGCGGGAGGCAACTGTAAGTCTGAGCGCCTGTGAGTACTATGGGAGGGCAGAGGGGCTCACGGCAGCACCCGCGGCTCGTTAACTGCTGAACAATATGTGAGTCTCCAAACACCAGAAAAGTCCCTAATAACACCATTACAAGTCGTTAAATTAGTCGTTAGTCGCTTTTGACAAAAATAAGTAGCCGGAGGGTTTGGAAAGCCGCCGAATTTAACGAGAAAGTCGCCAAGTTGGCAACACTGCCCACTTCGGAACGAATGGTTAAACACGGTTTTATCATTTCTCCCACACATTTAGCCGATGTCCCGCATTTGATTGACAGTCGCCCGTCTTAAACAAGGTTTTTATACAAAGTTGTGTAGAAAACGACCAGGCGAGGGTGAAACACTGTAGAAAAGCCCATCACAGTCCATAATAATGTGTGTAATAATCCTGCAGTCGGACAGAAAACAAACCACAGACTTTTCCTGGCAGAGCCTTTTAAATGAAGACCAGGAAAAAGCATGCGATAAAGACCTCCCTCATGACAAATGTTTTAAACACATCCGGGTATTTCACGTCATGGCAACGCCCCACTTCAGTTAAAACGGTTAAAACTTCAGCATTTGATTCGTCCTTTTGTCAGGTCTTGTCTTTTAACTGCAAACTATAGCTATGGATACAAATAAAAAACCTTAATCTGAAATAACTTTAAAAAAACTTCTCATTTATTTTCTGTGATTTTTGGTTAGTTTTATTTTCTGTTAGTTTTAAATGTGTCCTGTTTGTGTGTGAAAGAGAAAAGGTGCTTTATAAGTAACGCTTTTATATTATATTATTGTGACAGTTTTATTGAATCTACATTGTGTTCCTGTTTTATGAGCAGTATAGCCAATACAAAAATAAAACACCATCTGTTATGCTAGGATTTATGTTTTTACAGCACTTCCGAAAACTTGAACTTACAATATTTAACTCAGATAGACAAGCCCTGCAACAAAAGGACAGCAAACCCAACAACATCTCCTCTGTTATTGGCAGTCTTGTTCAAACGGCTGAAGGAGCTTATCTTTAAAGTACAATTATATTAAATGGCACTTTACAAGCAGTATACAGATCTGTGTGTTGACCACATTCAATCTTTTTTTATATCGCTTTCAAAGTGAATTCGTGGTCTATTTTTGGAGAGGACAATGGGCATTATATCTTACGTTTTTATTGCACATTCTTACTTTAACTTCTTATATTTATCTATTTTATTCTATTTTATTTGATATTTTGTTGTACATTCCTACTTTTATTTCTCACGTTTATATCCATTTTTATTTTATCTTTTTATTGGACATTTTACTTTAACTTCCTATGCTTCTTGTTTTTTTAATTTAATTTAATTTAATTTAATATCTTCTATTTTATGTCATTATCATAAGGCGCAACTGTCACGAAACCCAATTTCCCCCCGTGATAAATAAATAAATAATTCTGATTTAATACATGACATTAATAACTTATAATGTATGTTGTATACGTGTTTTATAAGTTTATTTGTTTATAGTGTCGTGGTAAATGGGGCAGCTATAGCTGACATTGCTAATTTCCAGATGTTGTCCCCGGCCAGATGATAAAAGACACCTTTTTAAAATCACAATACATCAACAGCATTAGTTATAAAGAAAGGATGAAAGACAAGTAGGCGAAAGGAATAAAAAGGAACAATCAAATGCAAACAACACACGTTACTACATACATGTCACATATAGCACATCACAATCACATAACAGAAACCAGGGGAAACATCCATGATCACAACATGTAACACACACACCATATCCAACACAGACGAGTGTGTGCAGGTTCTCAGTGAACCAGTGTGTCCTTTGTTTGTGTCTCTTTTCACTTCAACACCCCACACACACACACACACACACACACACACACACACACACACACACACACACACACACACACAGGCAAATACAGACACTTGTTACGCTGCTAGGACAGTCTTGCACTAATGTACATTTCTCAAAGATATTGAAGGGTTATTTTGATTGTTGTGCTTTTATTTATGTCTAAATGTGTGCATATGTATAAATGTGTCTGTTGATTGTGTGTATATATATATAGGTATATACATATTTTTTAAATATATTTGTATTAGGGATTGTGGGAAACGGTATTTTCGATCTCTCTGTCTGTACACACAAACTGAAAGATTGACATTACAGTTGACTTTGTTTGTTTGTGTCTCTCAGCCCAGACAGAAGCTGATCAACTCTGTGGATGTCTGTGTGGACGAGGCTCTGTGTGGGCTGGTGAGGGCCAGCGGGGGCCTCTCTCTGATGGGGGGGGGCCACAGGGTGCTGCTGCGCTCAGACCTGAACCTCCTGAGAGGGAAAGTGGCTCTGCTGTCGGGAGGGGGGTCCGGACACGAGCCTGCACACGGGGGTAGGAACTCGGAGTGATTATCTCAGATTCATATTTTTTAAATGTAGTTGAATGTCTCTCTCCTGTGAGCAGGTTTTCTGGGTGAAGGCATGCTCTCAGCAGCTGTGGCAGGGGGAGTGTTTGCTTCTCCTCCTCCTGCCAGCATCCTGGCGGCCATTCTGTGTTTGCACAACGCAGGTACGTAAATACACAGTTTTTAATTTTGTTTACTGTTTATAGGGGCAATGAATGTGTAAGTCACTGGGTATAGTGTGTGTGTGTGTGTGTGTGGGTTCATCACTGGGTAATTAAATGAAACGCAGCTACTGACTTTCTACAACACTATCTTATGGTTTTATTTAGAATAAGATATTTGTAGCCACCATTGTATATTTTATTAATTTATTTTAAAAATAATGAAATTAATTAACAATAATAAAAGATATATAAGTATATTTCTCTCTCTCTCCTAAGGTGCCTCGGGCGTCCTCCTCATCGTGAAGAACTACACCGGCGACCGCCTCAACTTCGGATTGGCTGCTGAGCAGGCCCGTAACCATGGCGTTGACGTCGACATGGTGATAGTTGCCGACGACTGCGCCTTCAACCAACCCAGTAAGGCGGGAAGGAGAGGACTGTGTGGAACCATCTTCATACACAAGGTAAACCACAACAACAACAACAACAAGCAACCATGGAAATAATCTTAACCAAAGGTCAATTTAAAATGAGTACATTATCCATCCGGCGAAAATTGGGTTTTCTGCTCCAATTTTAAATAAAATATTAAAAACATATTAAATATATTAATATAAAAAAAAACATTGTATTTTATTAATATAAATTAACCTCATTTATTCCTTGCTGTGTATTTCTTATAACCAATCTTTTGTATTATTATTTCATTTTATTGGGTTATTTGTATTTCATTTTAAATTTGAATTTTAAATGTACATTTTTATCGCAAAAAATAGCTTCCTGATAAACTTCCCATCAAGCAACTGGACCACATATTTCTCTATTTGTTGCTGAAAACGTTGCACCTCATGCTACAAAATGCTTAAAAAACACTCCCATTTTCTCCCAGCTGGCGGGTGCTTTAGCAGAAGAAGGCTGCTCATTGGTCCAGATTGTTTCCAAGGTGACGGAGGCTTTGAAGGGGATCGGTGAGTCTCTTTTGTGTGGTGTGTGTGTGTGTGTGTGTGTGTGGTGTGTGTGTAGTGTGTGTGTGTGTGTGTGTGTGTGTGTGTGTGTGTGTGTGTGTGTGTGTGTGTGTGTGTGTGTGGTGTGTGTGTGTGTGTGTGTGTGTGTGTGTGTGTGTGTGTGTGTGTGTGGTGTGTGTGTGTGTGGTGTGTGTGTGTGTGTGTGTGTGTTTGTTGTGTGTGTGTGTGTCATATTTTGTTTACAAACTTCCTCTTTACTGTTCCTCTTTGGATATAAATCACAAAGTGTGTGTGTGTGTGTTACAGGGACTCTGGGGGTGAGTCTGTCTCCCTGCAGTGTCCCCGGCTGTCTCCCCTCTTTTGACCTGCCGCCGGGAGACATGGAGATTGGGTGGGTGAGGAAAGGGGGAGAGATGGAGGAGGAGAAAAGGTGGAAATGTGAAGAAGAGAGACATTTTAATTGATTTTCTGTATTTTCTTTTGTATTTTTATTATTTAATATTTTACCCATTATCTTTTCAAATATCTTCCCATATTTTGCCTTTATGAAATATTGTGCTCATTGCAGATATAGTCCCTACTTACTGGAAATAAATGTAGTAAATATATTCGTACCAATTGGATTTCTTTCTTCCACTGTAGGTTAATCAACATCTTGAAATAGATTGTAAAACTGTTAGGCGTATTACAAATAATAATAATAGATTACATTTGTATAGCGCCTTTCAAGGGAGCTAAGGCCACTTTACATGGTAAACAAACAAAAGGGGCAAATAATAAAATTAAAAGGTAATAAATAGCAGTAGGAGTGGAAGTAGGGGGACTGTGATAGGTTAGGGGTCAAAGGCCATGGTGAACAGGTGAGCATTAAGTTATAAGAGGTTTTAATTACTGCAAAAGTAGGCTAGTGTTTACTCACAGTTAATGCTCTCTTTGAATGAAATTGCACATAGTTTTTAGTTTTTGGGACGATACCTGAGAAGTAACCTCTGCAGCCTGTTTTCCTGCTGGCTAATGCATCACATACACATTGGAAATTGGGAAATAAAGCGTCAAAACTGCAATAAGAGGGATAAATTGTATTAAACTCTGTTATTTCTAAACGTTGACTGCATTGTTTTTATCTTCAGGGATTCACGGTGAGCCTGGAATCAAGAGATCGAAGGTGAGTCAGCTTACAATAAGAATCTTTTTACCCTTTATCTGTTAATATTCTCACTTATTCGTCTTAATAATTCCTCTTAATCAGGTGGCGTCCGCCGACGAGGTGGTGAAGACCATGATAGATCACATGACCAACACTGACAGCCAATCACATCTGCCGCTCAAGTCAGGTATTTGATTCAAATTAAGCTACAGTGTAGAAAATGGCAATGAAATTCTTCTGATCCGAGCTCCTCCATCAATGCAACATAGTTATATAATAAAATACAAAAATTCAATTAAATAATAGTGCAAAAGTCTATATACACGTAAATAGAATATGATATTTAAAATCAGAATCAGAAACAGGTTTATTACCAGGTAAGTTGACACGTACGAGGAATTTGACTTGATGTCATGGTGCATACATAAAAGTAAAAAATAAAAACACAGATAGAGAACTAGAAAAATATTAAAAATAATACAAAATATAGTAAAATATATGAAAAAAAAATATATATATAACAGTATTTACATAGAAATAAAATATGGAATACAAATCGGAAGTAATAAAACTTTGAATGCATGCTGACATTTATTTTTCACACTCCTTGTTCTTCTTCTTCCACACAGGCGACAGTGTGGTGGTGTGTGTGAACAACCTCGGAGCGTTGTCCTGTCTGGAGATGGCTGTTGTTACCAGAGCAACCATCATCTGTCTGGGTAACCGTGGATACAAGAAGTGCTAAAAAAAAAAGCTGGCTAATTTCCCCGGTTTTAGGACTCATTCCTGCACCACTCTATTCCCTTTGTTGACCTCGTGACCTCTTGTTAATACTAAACATGGATACAGGATGTGTTGAGTAACCACTGTTTCTACGGTTACAGAGAGTCGCGGTCTGGTGGTTGCCAGGGTGATGTCGGGGTCGTTTATGACATCACTGGAGATGGCGGGAGTTTCGCTGAGCGTGATGACGGTCGACCAGGAAACACTGAGACTGTTTGGTGAGCACACACACACACACACACACACACACACACACACACACACACACACACACACACACACACACACACACACACACACACACACACACACACACACACACACACACACACACCATGTATACATTACTTCAGGGGACATGCATGTCCTGGAGACTTATCCTAACCTTAACCATAACCAACACATGCCTAACCATTACCCTAACCCTTACCCTTACCCTAACCAAGTCTTCACCCTAAAATTAATGATTCCCCTCATGGGTACCTCCATTTTGTTCCCATTAGGGAAGCCAGTCCCCACATGTGACTGTGTAAACAGATGTAGGTCCCCACAATGATAGGACACGCACACACACACACACACACACACACACACACACACACACACACACACACACTGGGCAATGATAGTAATACAAGGACACACACACACACACTGAGCTTTCACTAATGACTAGTTTCTATATACTTTTTATTATTATTATTTTTTATTTGCATTTTAAGAACATATACACAAAGCATACATGACAAAATAAACACATCTAGGTACAAAGATTAACCACATAACAGTTGACAAATCCGAAAACAAATGATAAAATAATAGTAATAATAATATTACAAATAAAATAATATATATACTTATTTAATAAAATGAGAAATAGGGACAAATGTCAATCCCAGTTTGTTCAATTCAAAATATCTTTAAACTTCTTAGTTTGTTAAATATTCGGAGATATATATAAGGTTGAATACTTTGCATGGCTGTAAACACTATTCTCTGCCAGTTTTGCATGAAAAACGCCAACTTTTTTATTTAAATCGCCTTTAATTTCATTATTTTGTATATCCAGGCTTTAATCTAACTTGTTTTTGACCTGTACATTTTCTGTTTCTATGTCTGTGAGGTTTATTGTTATTTGTTCGTATACTGTATTTATCCTATAGATGCTAAGACCAGCGCCCCCGCCTGGCCGAACCTCAGCAGTGTGTGTGTGAGCGGACGCAGCTTCATCACAGAAGCTCCAGAGATGAGCCCCCGCCCACAGGACCACACACACTCCGAAGGTGAGGATTCAAGGTTACCTCTGTGGAGGAAATTCTTAAGAGAAACTATTAAATGATTAATGGACAAAGTTTGTCTTTTGTTATATTTAATAAAGTAATAAAGAAAGTCAAAATACGAAATCGATCTCAAATGCAGGAACAGAGCGACTTCATTCTCAGAGGGAAAAATAAGTTTTGCACCCCGAACACAGTTTACAGTCACACTATATATTCATGAAAGAAAACATCCAACTGGTCCTACATCCCATCATTAAACCATAAAAACCCCCTCGTCCTTAACATTTGCATATCCCCCTTTTACTTCCTTTTTACCTCCTGAAATGTAAACCTTTAACATCTGTCTCTGTTAAACACATACACGACTAAAAATACAATTTAACAGAGTAAAAGGCAACCAGAGTATAAGACTATATGTTTTAAATGATTATATGATAATTTGAAACGACAACCTGCAGTGATGACATGGAGTAATTGGATAAATAATGTATTAACTAAGCCTGTCGTTTTTTATTTCCCGCAGGGCCTCTGAGTCCTGTCATGCGTAAAGCGCTGGTTAGAGTTTGTACCACACTGTTGGAGAAGCAGGAGGAACTGAATGCGTTGGACCGTGCTTCCGGGGACGGAGATTGTGGGAACACTCACGCTCAGGCTGCTAAAGGTAGGTTATCTACAGAAGCTTTAATGACAGTCAAGTGTTTAAAATTGCAAGAAAAAGACGTTTAAAATGGTGAACATGCTTTTAGCCATTCAGGAGTGGCTCCAGGATCATGTGGTCCCTGGTTGTCCCGGGCAACTGCTGTCAGTCCTCGCCGGATTGGTCCAGGAGAAAATGGGCGGGTCTTCGGGAGCGGTACGTTTTCTAACATATTCTACAAAAAATTGCTTGACTGACCTATTAAAAGTGTATTCTATAACTTATTTTGTCTAGATTTGAACACATTTTGACATTATGCTGTAACTAAACACTCTACCACACACACACACACACACACACACTCACTCACTCACTCACTCACTCACTCACTCACTCACTCACTCACTCACTCACTCACTCACTCTCACACACTCTCACTCTCACACTCACTCACTCACACACTCTCTTCTTCATGTGTGTGTTACAGTTGTACAGTCTGTTCCTGACTGCAGCGGCAGGTCATGTGACCGAAGGGCAGAGCAACGGTGCAGCCTGGGCTACTGCAATGCATGCTGGGACACAGGCCATGAAGAAGTAATGCCTTGTTTACATGCTGCTGTAACACATCAATAAAGTATTTATTCTAATTATATAATCTGATAATCACCTCTGTGGTACTGAAGACACTATTAAATTATGTCAGAAGTTAGTCAATTATTTATTTTAGTTTTATTTTGGTTATAATTTCTCCCGGAAAACACATTTATTTCTCAGTTTTAAGGATTCTAACCCTCTTAGTATACGTCAAAATAACTTCTTGTCCAAACTAAAACTCACCATGCACTCTAGAAGCTTGTGTTCAATATGTTTGTAATTTAAATCAATGAATAAACACTACCACAATAAAGTTAGTTGATAGGTCAAACAACAACAACAACAACAACAACAACAAAAAGCAAATTGATTAACCATCTGTAACTCTTTTCAGGTACGGTGGTGCTGACGTTGGAGACAGAACGATGGTGAGTTATCGTCTCATTTCTCAACATCTGTTCCACTTTAAAACATATTTTCTGAACATACTATTTATCCGTTCCTCAGCAGCAAGATATTCATTAAAAAGCTTCTTAAATCTCTTTTCCTCCTCCTCTCCAGTTGGATGCTTTGTGTCCTGCTGTGGATGAGCTGATGAAGCTGAAAACAGCTCCACCCGGTGGACAGGTTGCTGTACTGCAGTCTGCTGTGAAGGTAACATAAATAATCTTTTTAATTATAAGACTTCCTTCTCCCAAATCTGTCTGAAGAAATAAATATTTAAAATTCAAGTAGAAACTAATGATTGGGAATTTTGTGGAACATTATATTCATATTTGATCTAACATATTATCAAATATTATATTATTATTATATTATATTATTATACATATTATTATTCTGAAGCTTTATTGTTGGATGTATATATCTTTTGGATTGCAAAACTTCTATTAAAAGCTCATTTTTTATGGACAAGGATGACTTTTTGTTTAACAATATTCTTATTTTGTACATTTTATACACACAAATCTAAGTCAATGAAAGTAAATCCTATTTTTTGTGTATTTTTTTTAGTTCAATCCTTTATAAGGGACCTTTAGTCAATAAAAAATAAGAATGGGACAAACCTCTTTTCCTATTTGTATTTATTATATACTTCAATGCCTTTATGTATTTGTTTATTTCTGCCTTTTTTTGGTATGCTCCCGGTTCTGAAAGCTAGTTTTGAACATATTAATTATTAAATATAATAAATAAAAAGAGAGACTTCCTGCAGTGCCACCAGATTGATTTACAAAATAATTCTAATGCTATTCTAATTACAAGAAATGGGTAATTTGTACTTTCTTAAATCACATGCCTTATATTTTTTCCGTCCCTCTCTCTCTTCTCTAGAAAGCGTCCTTGGGGGCGGAGTCGACCCTTCACCTCACAGCGATGGCGGGTCGGGCGAGCTACATCGCGGCGGAGCGAGTCTCGCTGCCCGACCCTGGGGCCGTCGCCGTGGCAACCATCATGAGAGCCGTGATGGAGACCCTGGAAGAGGAGAAGAAGAAGTAAAACAGCAAACAGTATCAGAGCAGATGATCACTATCACCTGGGTAATACTCGAGTGTGAGAAAATACAGTGATTTGGAGTTCTCTGAAGCACATTTAAAGCAAATCTACATAGCTTTCATACAGTGAATGAACAGGAACTTGAGAAAAAGGTACTTTATAAACAGAACATCTCGCTTAAAGCAGCTAGCAGTGATGTAAGATTAGTACAAAAAACAGTGGTCCTTAACATTTGCTTAACAAGCTTAGAAATACTGCAAATACAATCATGTCTAGCAAGTATTAAATCAATTGTAGTAATAATGGATCTGTATTAATCCTGGATTATTACTTTATCACTTTCACCAGGCTAATACTAGCATTATGTGAGAAAATACTGTGATTTTGAGGCCTCTCAAGCACATTTAAAGCATAGCTTATTACACAGTGAATGAAAGATATATACAAATATTGTATTGTATTGTATTTAAGATTTAGTAAAGGGTAAAAACAAGAGGAAAAACCTTGGTATGATCCTTTAAAATGTGATTAACAAGCTCAGAAATACTGTGTATACAATCAAAGTTTAGTAAGACTTAAATAATAATTGTTATAGTGCATCTTAATTAATATATAGATGACCTTTTTTAACATAAAAGATTTGTATAAGTCAGTCCTTTATCATACCTTGTTACTACCAATAAAATGCAGAGGGATATGTTAACTGTACACCACATATTCCCAATAAAATAGCAGATTATTAAGTGAAGAAATCCTCTCAAAAAAACTTTAAAAAATAACACCAGTTCCTACATTTCCCGAGATGCAACTTGATAATATGTAGTTTGTTGTCTATCTTCATGATAAACGTGTGTAAAATAGTAAAAAAAGTCAAATATTATTACATTTATTATCATGTTTTGTAATCTCTGTTTAGCAAATGCTGTTCATGGAATTTAAATGCACTTTCTTAAAACAACAGTGTTAATTATAATGAATAAAATAACTATTAAACTGTAAATAATAAAAAGTAAATAAACAACTAAGTGTGTGTTTTATGATTAAAAAAAACATCTGCAGATCTTTTTCTTCTTTCTTTCAACTCTTCTTTCTTACTTTCATTTGCCCTGCCAACTTCCTGACACACACACACACACACACACACACACACACACACACACACACACACACACACACACACACACACACACACACACACTTATATAAACCCTTTCAGTTTCCGCGACACCACAGCACACAGACACCCGCAAAGGTAATACTCTTTATGATCTAATGTGAGTGTTTTGTTTTCATTCAGGGTGTAGAGAGTCATTTGTGCTTTTACTTTTGTAAGACTGTTGTGTGTGTGTGTGGCCTACCATTACTATCCTTGTGGGGACCTACATCTGTTTACACAGTCACATGTGGGGACTCACCTCCCTTATGGGGACATAATGGAGGTCCCCATTCATTTTAGGGTGAAGACTTGGTTAGGGTAAGGGTTAGGCATGTGTTGGTTAAGGTAAGTCTCAAGGTAATGCATGTAAGTCAATGTAATGTCCCCTGAAGTGATGTATACATGGTGTGTGTGTGTGTGTGTGTGTGTGTGTGTGCGTGCGTGCGTGTGTGTGTGTGCGTGCGTGCGTGCGTGCGTGCGTGTGTGTGCAGAGAGTCTGCAGCGGTGTTGCAGAACCCCCCGACCCGTCTTGTAACACGGAGCCCGTTTCTTAAACCATGCAAAATGTATGTGTGCATAAAGCTGAGTTATGATCGGTCATAATAACACAGAATTTGGTGATGATATATTGTATGTATATAATAATAATTTAAGATGTGAAATTAATTCAGTTTATTTGTCGTACTTTCTTTTTTTATTGTGTCATTTGGTGGCATCAATGTGTGCATTAGATACAGATAATGGAGCAGTTGCCCTTAAGGTCAAATCATGTGATCCTCAAACACCCATCCCCCCCCCAAAAAAAAATAAAAAAAATAAAACATTTGCTAAAAAGAATTGCTTAATTTAACAATACAAATATTTGAATAACCATCTATGGCATGAGTTTTTATTTTTGGGGTAGAAATATCTGTGGTGATCTAGGGGGTCCCTAATGACATATCCATCATAATGTGTGGTCCTGTGGGTATCTGTGCAAGTGTGTGTGGTCATTCTAATGCAAGTGTTATCGTATGCTGAAGCATTTGGATTTCCTTTTATTTGAACTAGTGGACCAAAGCTGGCATTAGCCCATTCTCAAAGTTCAACTCTTTGTGAATATTAATGTAACAGTTGGGCTGCTTTTAAGTGATAGGAGAACACAGGAATGAAGTTGTGAGTTATTTTGATCTTGCTCTCTTTAAGTAAAGTCTAAGGCTTTGTATTATACATGAAATATAGAGCAGGTGAAACATGTATTCAGGCCTCTTTATCAGAATAAGGACATGAAAACACAGATGCCAAATTGTATTAAAAAGGTGGCCACTGTGACTGTTGCCATGGCAGAGTTATTCAAATAGGAGAGACATATGGGATAGGTCTGTTGAGCTGTGCTGCAAACCATAGCGTGCACTCATTTGACTTGTGATATGTTTCCTCCTAAGTCAAGTAAGAGCAGTCTTTGTTCTTGTTGTGCTGTTTTGATATGTTCATGTAAATGTGATGTTAATATTCCGGGAGCCTTCCTGTGCCACACAGCGACTGCCCCAGTGCTCTGTACATGGCCTGGCTGGATCAGTCAGTAATCCCTACTGTATTATGTATATTTATATTTAATATTTTACTTTAAACATGATCTGTGTAGCTAGATAATTACCAGTTAAATAAGTGGTTGTTATCACTATCTTTCTTGTAGAATTCAGACAATAGTTTCCAATCGTTCCATATCAAGTCTCAAGGTTTTTTTTAAGGTATCCCACACTGGCTTACACTTGGTCCTATTTGTTTTGAGAAATTGTTTTCTCAAAAGAATCTTGTTTATGCACGATTATTGCTATTTACTGATCTTGATATACTTTAGGATAATACTATTGAATAGTTATTGGTGTATAAAATGCCTGCACATTTATTTGAATATCTTATTTCAATAACATATATGCTATTAAGAGCACTACAAAGTTCTCCCATTGAAACGGAAACTGGAGTTACCGCCTGGCACTTGTGTGCTTCTGCCAACCAGTCATGTAGCAGTTTACATCCATGTCTGTACAACATGTCGTCGATTCATAATTTTATCCTATCAGAAAGTTGAGTGACTTTGTCATAGCTAACATATTAATTCTTGTTACGGCCACAAAATCGTGTTTTGTGAGGTCTCAGAGACTTTTGGCCTTTTGACCACAAGGTCAAACATGTGACAGAAATGGATTCATCCTTGAGTCCAAGTGGAAGATTGTGCAAGACTTGAATGAATTCCTCACGTTCTCCTGAGATATAGCATTCACAGGAATGAAATAGCTGGATGGACAGACTCATAAGAATAGAGACAACAAAGAGATAATGGTTTTGACTTGTGTTTCAGAATAAAGAAACTATGTGACTGAAATTAAAATAATATTGACACACTTGTAATATGAGGGGCTCAAATACAGCCATAATGTTCTATTAAAGCTGTTTGATATATGGTAACAAGCAATATCCTAACAAAAATATATAAAAATATAAACATGCAAAAGTTCTCATTAGTGCATATTTTGGAATGGTACCTTTCTTTCCGTGTGTCAGACAGTCAACAAGGAAGTGTGTTCAACTTTTTTCCCTGTTAAATGTAATTGATATTCTTCCCTTCAATGAATCCTATATCAACCATGATAGACCTCTTTGACATCTGAATTTCAATATTCAAATGTTTCCCCAAAGGTGGCTCAAAGAGAGCAGCGACCTCGTGGATATCTGAGTCTTCACCAGCACATCGAGAGAGACGGAGAGAGAAGCAGCTGACAGGACGACTCAGGAGAAGTAAGTGTGATTCTGTTCAGTCATTTTCATATTTTGTTTATTTTTGAGAAAGATATTCTCCTTCAGAATATTTTCCAAAGGGGAGGAACATTTAATGAATCACATCTCAATCAGAAGTAATGAAATCTAAAACCCTATTATGTTCATTTATTCCCTTAAATCATTTGTTTCTCTTGAAATCACTTGGAATGTTTATTTTTTGATTAAAAATCTCAGTGTTTATTTTGAATAATAAACTTTATCTAATGTTCACTTTAAAACATTTTTTTTTTTTACAAAAGATCGGGACTTTACCAAGAACGCTGGACATTTATAATGAAAACTAAACATTTAGTCTGAGTCTAGTGGAGATTTTGTGCCCTGGGTTTTACCTTTCAGGTTCATGTTAGGTTTTTAGAGCTTTGTGGGCGATGTATGCAGCCTGTCCCGTAGACATTACTCAGGGTTGAAAACCCCACTATTTTCCTGCTTTAAAAAACGGTGGTAAATCTTAAATGTTTTATTCGAGATGATGTGTATACACAGCAATCTCACTCTCAGTTCAAATAAACACAATGTAATTTTCATTAGGGTAAGTTCACCCCTAATAAAATAATTAACACACATCTTTAAATCGGGCTTATAAAAGCAACAATACACAATTTAATGAAGCTAGAATTTCAGTTTCTGTCTCTGATAGGAGTACATTGTAATGTGAATAAATAATCTACAAAATAAATCACCAGCAACATATTAATACTTATAGCCTAGACAAAAAAACAAACATAAAAAGTCAGTGTTGTTGTGTGGCACTATACAGTTAATGTTTAGTTTGCAACTGGTGTTTCATTGAAATGAGACATTTCCATGTGCTAAAAATAAATGTTATGGTCAAGTCAAAGTCAAAGTCAACTTTATTGTCAATCTTAAAATATGTTTGTACACACAGAAAGATCTAAATACTGTTTCCCACAGTCCCGAGGTATAAAATAACACATTCAAATACAAGAACACTCAATAATTACAAAAACTTCAAAATAACCGTTTACTTCAAGTAAGCAGGATATATATATATATATATATATATATATATATATATATATATATAAAAAGATGATGTACATAGTGCAAATGAGAGTGCAAAATATTTCCATAGCAGCGTAAAAGTGACTGGTGCTGGATTTGTTGTGTCTGTGTGTGTGTGGGTCTGTGGGAGTGTTAAAGTCCAGGTCCAGTGGGGGCAGGGTGGAGAGGTGAGATAGAGGGGTGAGAGGGGAGAGGTGGGAGGGGGGGGGAGAGAGTTCAGCCTCCTGACAGCCTGGTGGTGTGTGCCTGTTACTGCTGGTGCTGCTCAGAATTTGCATTTCCTTAACATGAACTTCCTCATTAAACTGCTGCACTGAAGGGAGTGGTGCAGTCTGTGTTTCTGGTCATTTGACTGACCCATTAGGTTTTTTAAATAATTTAAATGTAACTGACATCATTTATAAGATTTGTAAATGATCACTGTACACTAACAATATTGGTTTCATCTAACAGAGCAAAGATGCAGTGGAGTCTGTTTGTGCTCATTCTGATGGGTAAGTGGATTTTAAATTAAATCACATCTGGAGTCATGAAACTGCTCACTCTTCATAACAATAAAAAGTGGAATAAGTGAACTCAGACCCCCGTTAAGATGAAGGGGATAGTGTAAGAGGTGGGGGTGATTCTAGTACTCATGAGTTTGATTTAATGATCAGGTGCTTGTCATACTGTCAGCTCCATCATTGCAGAATTGTCTCTGTTTTTAGGTCAGTGTTCCTTCTTCACATGTCACCTCTATGAGTACCACTTCAATCAAAAGGAAAGACCTGGGAGGAAGCCCAGAGTTATTGCAGAGAGCATTTCACTGACCTGGCCACAGTGTCTGACATGAGAGACGTGGAGAGACTGACTAACCCTCCACAGACTACAGACGCCTGGATTGGACTGAGGAGCATATCAAGAATGTCGTGGCACTGGTCTCTGCCGGGGGTGGAGTTCAAAGAATCTGAGACAGAATGGGAGACAGGTCAGCCGGATAATGGGGCTACTGAGGAGAACTGTGTGGTGATAAAAGAACAAAA